AGATGATCAACATCACTAGTCATTAGGGAAATGCAAATTAAAATTACAGTGAGATACCACCATACATTTATTAGAATAGAGATAAAGTCTAATAATGCCAAGTGTTGGCAAGGATGAGGAGAAATAAGAACCCTCATACAGGGCTTCCCTGGTGGCGCAGTGGTTGAGAGTCCGCCTGCCGATGCAGGGGACACGGGTTCGTGCCCCGGTCCGGGAGGATCCCACATGCCTCGGAGGGGCTGGGCCCATGAGCCATGGCCGCTGAGCCTGCCCGTCCGGAGCCTGTGCTCCGCAACGGGAGAGGCCACAGCAGTGAGAGGCCCGAGTAACACCAAAAAAAAAAACAAACCCAAAAAAAACCCCCTCATACATTGCTGGTGGGAACGTAAAATGTGGTACAGTCACTTCAGAAAACAATTTGTCAGTTCCTTATAATGTTAAACATAGAGTTACAACATGACCCAACAATCCCATCCTGCAATATCCTAGAAAACTGACAGCATGTCTCCATTAAGAGTTTATGTAAATATTCACAGCAACATTATCCATAATAGCAAAAATCTGGAAATAAATGAAATGTTCATTACCTGGTAAATGGATAAAGAAAATCTAGTATACCTATCTGATGAATACTATTCAGCAGTAAAAAGGGATGAACTACTTATACATGCTACAACATGGATAAACATTATGCTAAGTGAAAGAAGCCAGACACAAAAGACCACACATTGTATGATTCCATTTAAGTGACTTTCTAGAAAAGGCAAATCTGTAGAGATGGAAAACAAATCATTGGTTGCCAAGAGATGGAAATTGGAGTGTGATTGACTGCAAATGCACAGGAGAAAACTTTTGGGGAGTGATGGAAATATTGGGGTGGATCGGGGTGATGGTTGCATAACTTTATAAATTTACTAGAAGTCATTGAATTACCACGTATTAACGGTGAACTTTACGGTATGCAGATCATACCTCAATAAAACTATTAAACAAAACCATTAACTCTTCCAATTTTAAAATGTTCTTGGGAATTCCCTGGCTGTCCAGTGGTTTAGGACTCTGAGCTTTCACTGCTGAGGGCCTGAGTTCAATCCCCGTTTGGGGAACTAAGATCCCACAAGCCGCAGGGCATGCCCCCCCCCCAAAATGTTCTCAACTAATTCAAATTCTTAAAGGACCTTTGTGGAAAAAAAAATACCCCAAGTTTATGGCGCAAGCCCTTGGGCTGCCTACTTGCAACCCCAGTGCTAAGCTGCATGAGTAGAAATTTGAATAAAATAAAATCCTTGTCCTCCGGGAGTTTAAGATCCAAAGGGAGAAAATGGAACAGTAAACAGTTACAAAACCCTATGATAAATATTACAAGCGGGATGTGCAGGGAGGTTTGGGTCCAGAGAATGCCTGGCTCTGACTGAGCAGGGCTGGGGGTGCCACAGATGAGGCTGGACACTCAAGTGAGGTTTTGAAGGGTTCAGGAGATTGCAAGTGTAGAAAGTGGAGAAAAGGGGTGGGTGACATTTCCAGGCAGAGGGAACAGAATGGGCAAAGGCTTGGAGGTATGAAAAAGCAATTCCCTTTCTGAGAACTGAGAAGGTTGGAGATGTGGTTCACCTGGAGATAAAGAACAGGAAAGGAAGGCAGGGGCCACATTGTGAAGGGCTTGGCAGGCAGCGTTAAAGTCTTTGGACAAAAGATTAAGCAGAATTTATTTGTTGGAGGAATATGGGCATCCTTCTTGTGGCCTGAATTAAACTTTGTATATCTTGGAAACATCATATTGCACTAATTAAAAAAAATCCATTAATATACTGCTTATCATGTGCCAGGCACTGTTTTAATACTTTATATAAACCACCTTAATCCTATCAACAGTGATTCTCAAATTCTAACCTGCATCAGATTCACCTGGAAGTCTTCTTAAAACAGAGAGTTTCTAATTTAGTAGGTCTGGAGTGGAGCCCGAGAATTTGCATTTCAGTCCAGTTCCCAGCTGCTGCTGCTAGTTTCCGGGGAGCACACTGGGAGAACAACGGCCTTACACCCATCTTATAAGAATGATATCATTATCATCACCATCATTCCCATTTTACAGAGGAGGAAACAGATGGAAGGTTAAGCAATCTGCCCCCAAGGCCATATGACTCTTGGTGGTGGGGCTGGCAGTCAATGCTAGGCAATGTCTGCCGTGCTTCCCAGTTCACAGGTTGGAAACAGAGTTAAGGGCTGGCATTTTCAATCCTTCATTGCAACTATCAAAAATATATTACACACATACACACAGACACTCACGCACAGGCCTTAACTGACATCTGAGATAAAAGAACTAGGGATGCTAACTGATGCCAAGGGGGTAGTGAGGGAAAGTCTTTGAGAAACCCTTGAGTCCATTCCAATGAAGCATTATTTTCGTCCTACTGGATGAAGCCAGGATTCGGATATGCTCAAGTATCAATGTACAAAATGACTAATTAAATACGTAAAAAGAAATCATGAAATGTCACAACTCAAAACTGAAACGTACAAGTCCTCAATCTCTGTTGTTTTCAATATATTTATTTTAAATGTTTTATAAGTTATGAAAATTAACAATATCTAGAGAAGATAACCTTGTTATACGTGCTGCTTTGGGGGGGGGGGTAGTCCCAAGAAGAAAATGGCAATTCTTTCATGAATCGGCTTGCTTTTCACATCTTGATCTAATTTGTAGCATCTCCCTGGTTGCCTTCCAATAAACAACTTCTTCCCTAAATTGGTGGCATTATGTTATTTCTGAGATCTGAATCACAGAGACTGTAGTCCAAGCCTGCATGCTCCATCTTGTCGTTTGTGTAGAGTGCTGTATATCTAATTAAAGCTTCTTACAGGTCCATAAAAAGACCTAACATTAAAAAAGCAGTCTGGTTTGGAGAAAGCCCCAGGGCAGAATGAAGGAGGGGGTTCTTCATTAACAATAAACACATTTTCTTGAATTCAAAGTTAAGCAATCATATATTAATTTGTACTTGAATATTTTAAAATGTTGCATAAGCATGATCAGATCATGTTACCACATTGATGGTGCGGGACTGAAAACGGGTCACGTTCTTGCCAGCAACACTCCAGCTTCCCAGGAAACACTGGGGATGAATAAATGATTTACCACGTGGCCAGGACAGCAGCCCTCTCTCTGGAAGAGAATTTGAGCCAACTTGATTTAAACCAAGGTATTATTCTATTCCTTTTCATTTATTGTTTTGCTATTCTTATGCCCTGTTGCCCTTAAAGAATTTATTCAAAACCTGAGTTACACAGCAGCAATATAAATACTCTATTTTCCAAGGGCTTATCTACTAAGGCCATTGTTTTGTGATTACTGTTCTATCTCAGGGGCTACAGACCTGGCGTGGCGGTCCTCAACCACTGGAATTCCCTTGGGAGACCATTAGCGTGGTATTTTTTTCCCCTTTACTTGGTTTACAGGGTTCCCTGAATAGTGATATCTCCCTAAGGAGAAAAGCGCAAGGCCTTCGCGTTTGCCAGTAACAAAGGAATGAATTCCACAAACCAAGTTAGAAGGAAGCTCTTGCTTAACATACTGCTAGAGTTAGAATGTCAGTGTCAAAGTGAGATTATTCTTTTATGATCTTTCCAAGCCAGTGTTATCCCAGAGTTGGGGCCTTGACTCAGCCCTGAGGGGCAGAGGTCCACCTGAGGCCTACAGCCCCAGGCTTTCCCCAGCCAATGACCCATCACCCCATGCCAGAGCCTTAGGGTAACTGCGAGTCCCCCTTTAACCTTCTGTTATTACCCTGAGGGTTTGTACCTCCCAACAATCCACTCTTGCTTCCCAGTCATCTTCAGACATGCAAAGTAGATGCCAAGGAGACAGTCTGAAAAGAAAAGGCTTCTGACATTTGCAGGTCAGCAGAGACATTTGCTAAAGCCATCTAGATTTTTCTTCTCCGTCCAGTCAATTTAATCAAACTTGGAGCATCTAAGCAGCTCCCTCCTCCCCCCACATTGTGTCCTTCTTTGCTAGGGGTCCTCCCTTGGGGGAGGGGTGGAGAGCAGGGAGAATCATTAAGGGAAAAAGCAGGTTGGAGAAATCTGGCATCTGGCTTGTCACTCCCTTCCAGAAAACCCGGAGAGCTGATCTCCATTGCGCGCCAAGCTTCCAAGGGTGGGAGACGTGAGCCCCTGCCCCTGTCTCCCACCCTCCCAAACCTTCCTCTCGGGCGAGCGCTAAGTTCCCTTCGGGAGCCACCGACCTGGTGACCATGCCGCTGAACCATCCAGTGCACAGTTAATGCCTGGAGTGTTCTGAATCCCTGACTTCACATGCTTTAATACTTCCCACGACCTTTCGCCTTTCCACGCTTTTCCAGAGGAGGCAGCCTGGCCAGGCAAGGGTCTCCGGCTGACCTTTAAAGCCAGCGCTGCATTCGGATGCTGGGCTTTTTCTCTCTTTTAAAAATGGCAACAAAATCAACAAAATTCCTTCAAATTGGGTTCCCAAAGAGAAGAAACCGTAAAGAATATGTATGTGTATACATGAATGTAAATTGAATTTTTTCCCTTTCCTTGCTTAAACCTGGGCGGGAGATGGGGGGAAACTTTAAAAGGGTAAAGCGCCTGGCGCCCTCGGCCCCGCGTCCCAGGACCCAGAGTCTGGTGAGGACGCGATCCCTTCCCTCCGATTTCCCCCGACGGCTCGCGCTACTTTTCTGGGCCATTGTCCCATGTCCCTAGTGCTTCCTCCTTCATCATCCCTTCTGTTCGGGCACCTCGCCCGCTTCCTACCGCCAGCCGCAGCCCAGACTCGCTGGGGTAGGGATGATGCCAGGATGCCCTCCAGCAGCCCGCGCGCCGGAGCCCGCAGGTGCGCCCCGTCCCTCCCTGCCCGCGGCCCCGCCCCGTCCCTCCCTGCCCGCGGCCCCGCCCCGTCCC